TAATGCTGTTATACTACTCAGTATCTAATGTGGAGAGCAAAGTCAGGGATTTTAAAATCAATAAAACAAAATTAGAGTGAAAATGGTATATTTGTGGTACATTTGGCCTAATTAAAGAGTTAACAGTTAATAGATACAGAATAATTCAGTTGTAAAATATCTTTTGATGCCAAAGATTATTGAATAAGGTTAATTGGGTAAAGAAACAGAATAGTGGATATTTGACAGGTTTTCTGGTTATTTAGTACTCTTCAAATAACCCGGCTTTGTTTCAAGACTTTCCATCTGCCTGAATTCTAAATCTCTAAAACAGAATCTAGAAAATTTCAGTTCCTCAGTTACCTTTGTAGCTCAGGCATGGGCATTTGATTAGGTGAAGCAAACTCACCTGTATTCAGCACAGAATCTGTTTTGCTGGCAGGAGTAGCATCATTGGTTTCCGGATCAGGTTCCTCATGGAGAAGAGAAGTAGCATTGGTATGGTGGCAAGAGCAGACATAGTAAAGTTGAGTTTCTGGCAACATCAGAAGTGTAGCATCTTGTGTTCCATGAGGGTAAAAATGGCGGCAGTTTCTTCTGGCACCCCACAGGAGAGCAGCCGTTTTTATCATTAACCTATTTTGGGGTATGGCTTTGGTCATTACCCCTAGAAGGTTAGTCTCAGGCCTGCCTGGTTCTTGACAATTTGAAACAACCTGTTTAATGCCTTTTCAGCTTCTAAGCAGCCAGAGGCTGATTCTGTGACTTGTAACCAAGACTGACAGTTAAAGCTTTTATAGTCCACTTCCTGGTGATGTGAGTTAGGCAAAATAAAATTGGCTGGGCACAGTGGCTGATGCCTGTAATCCCAACACTTTGGGAGGCCGAGGTGGACAGATCACCTGAGGTCGTGAGTTCCAGACCAGCCTGGCCAACATGGCAAAGCCACACCTCTACTGAAAAATACAAAAATTGGCCAGGCATGGTGGTGGACACCTATAATCCCAGCTACTCGGGAGGCTGAGACAGGAAAGTCACTTGAAACTGGGAGGCTGAGGTTGCAGTGAGCTGAGATTGCACCATTGCACTCCAGCCTGGGAGACAGAGGAGGTTCCATCTCAACAATTAATAATAATAATTAAAATTGAAAAGGAGGATGAATGCAGATTAAGCTAGTCCGCAAAGCAGAGATAGAAAGAAATATTTCTTTGCTAAAAGGCACTCTCCTGTCTACAGCCTAGAGCCTAATTGATTGAAAAGTCCCATAATTTAGAACCTTGGAGAGTTAAAAATGCTAATTGTTCTTATCCGCTAAAACTAAAGCCAATGCAAACAGGAGAATTCTGAGCTGTAACATGAAATAAGATCAGTGCTTCAAGACTTCCTTATTCTTCCAGACAAAGATTGGATGTATGATTCATTTACTCACTGGAGCTTATTATTCTTCACTACTTTAAGAAGTGGCCACTAAGGTAAGGGTTAGGGGATTGGACAGAATGTAGAGGCTGTTACAAAGGATGACAGTCTTCATGCTTATTTTTCTGTGGCTACTAGTGCATGGAAATGACTGGAAACTAATTTGAAGCTCATAAAATTTTTGAGTGAATTTTATTGCCAAGAAACTCCAGGCCTGACTAGCTCTTTTCACTTGTTAAGGCCAAATCTGGCCCCCTAAACTCGTGTCACCAGGAAGTAGACTATGAAAGCTTTTAAAGACCCAAAGAAGGGCATCTTCCCCAATATCTCCATCATAGAACAATGAGGCTCAGCAGGACCTTCTGGAAAACTAGCACTGTAACCAAAAATACTTTATTTCAGTCTGGATGAGACCTTAGGGGACAGGTAGTAAGTGGCTGTATTCTACAGATGGAAAGAAGGATGCATGTTGCGTAGCCAAAAGGGTGGTGCTTGTTGCCTCTCCAGTATCTATTCTCCTGTTCTTTTTTTTTGGAGATAGAGTCTGCTTCTGGCACCATCTCAGCTCACTGCAACCTCCGCCTCCCGGGTTCAAGTGATTCTTCTGCCTCAGCCTCCTGAGTAGCTGGGACTACAGCTCAAGCAATCTGACCACCTTGGCCTCCCACAGTACTAGGATTACAGCCATGGGACACCATGCTCGGCTTCTCCTGTTCTTTTTTACCAACTGAAAAGTTGTGTTCAGGGTGCAATGTACCTAGCAAAAAAAAAAAAAAGTTATTTTCCAGACCATGTGACACCTTTCTGGTCTATATAAACCCTATCAACTGGGTGTTAACTTCCAAGAAAGTCATTGTTTTCCTGTTTAAAAGGAATAGACTGAGCTGGCACTCTCCTTTTACCCTTTTCTCTTCTCTCTTCCCACATGGAGTGCAGATGTAATATGGCAGCAGCAGCGAAGACAAAACACTCATGGAAGGTAGCAGAACAAGAAGAGAGAAAGAGCCTGGGTCTTTAGTATCACTAAGGACAACACTAGCCCAGGACTGCCTTAATCTGTATTTCTTGATAATGTGAGAAAAATGAAATCCCTTATTTAAACCAGCTTGTTGGACTTTGGGTTGAATTTGTTTTAGTGCTTTTTTGTTGTTGTTGCTGTTGTTGTTGAGACAGAGTCTCTCTGTCTCCCAGGCTGGAATGCAGTGGCATGATCATTGCTCACTGTAACCTCAAACTCTTGGGCTCAGGCAATCCTCCTGCCTCAGCCTCTTGAGTAGCTAGGAATACAGGTGTATACCGCCATGCCTAGCTAATTTTTTAAAAAATTTTTTGTAGAGACAGAGTCTCACTATGTTTCCCAAGTTGGTCTCAAACTTGTAGCCTGAAGCAGTCTTCCCACCTCAGCTTCCCAAAATGCCAGAATTACAGGAATGAGCTGCTGTACCTGGCCAGTATTTATAGATATGTGTGTGTGTATAACCTGTATATATATAACCTATATATAAATACACATATATATGTGTGTATATATAACCTATATATAAATACACATATAGTATATATATTTTTGTATATAGTGTGTGTATATATATCCCTATATAGTATGTATGTGTGTGTGTATGTATATACATATATAGGTTTTATATATGTATATATATATATATATATATATAGGTTATATATATGTATATATATGTGTAGGTTATACATATGTGTGTATGTATATATATGTATAACCCAGATTCTACAAGTGCTAACATTTTACCATATTTGGTTTATTATGTTTTCCTAATTTTTTCCCTTAACTTTCTGAGAGTAAGTTGCAGACATAATGCCTATTTACACCAAAATGAGCATTTTTAAAATTACGATAGCTCATTTGAGTTTAGAGCTTCTGGAGAAATACTTTAGAGTACATTTCTTTAAAATATTTCAATATATATTTCCTAAATATACAGGGACATTCTCTAATGTAACTGCAATATAATTATCAAAACTAGCGCATTAACATTGATGTAATACTAACATTTAACTCTTTCTATTTGTCTTAATAATGCCCTTTATGACGAAATGAAAAAAAAAAAAATCCCTGTGACCAGTATCCTATTGGGGATCACATGTTGCATGTAGTCTTCGTATCTCTTTAGTCATCCTTAATCTAGAGCAGTCCTTCAGTCTTTCTTTGTCTTTCATGACCATGATGTTTTAAAAAGTATAGGCAGGTTATTTTTATTTTTTTATTTTTTTATTTTTTTTGAGATGGAGTTTCGCTCTTGTTGCCCAGGCTGGAGTGCAGTGGCGCGATCTCGGCTCACCGCAACCTCCGCCTCCTGGGTTCAGGCAATTCTCCTGCCTCAGCCTCCTGAGTAGCTGGGATTACAGGCATGCGCCACCATGCCCAGCTGATTTTTTGTATTTTTAGTAGAGACGGGGTTTCACTATGTTGACCAGGATGGTCTCGATCTCTTGACCTCGTGATCCACCCGCCTGGGGCTTCCAAAGTGCTGGGATTACAGGCGTGAGCCACCGCACCCGGCCGGCAGGTTATTTTTTTAAAAGGTCATGTGAGCATTTTTTGAGTATGACAGCTCACCTAGGTTCAGCTCTTCCGGAGAAAAGAAGAAATCATGTATCTCCTCAAAAATTTATATCTTTTCTTTTTGAGATGGAGTCTTGTTCTGTTGCCCAGGCTGAAATGTAGTGGTGCCGTCTTGGCTCACTAGAACATCTGCCTCCTGGGTTCAAGCCATTCTCCTGCCTCAGCCTCCCAAGTAGCTAGGACTACAGGCATGTGCCACCACGCCCCGCTAATTTTTTTGAATATTTCGTAGATATGGGGTTTCACCATGTTGATTAGGCTAGTCTTGAACTCCAGACCTCCCATCTTAGCCTCCCAAAGTTCTGGGATTGCAGGCGTGAGTCACCATACCTGGCCAAAAATTTGTATTTTAAGAGCTTTATCTTGACTCCAGCAAGATATCTTACCTAGGACTTAACAGGTTTTTGTTGTTGTTTTATGATGTTTCTCAACATGGGCACTATGGGCATTTTTTACAAGACAGTTCTTCGCTATACCAGACTGTCCCACACATTACAGGAGATTTAGCATCCCTGGCTTCTGTCCTCTAAATTCCAGTAGCATTCTCCAGTTGATATGACCACCCAAAACACCCTCTTTTAAGAATCATTGTTGTATGAAATTTTGAATCTTTAAATTAGGAGACCAGTCTCGATTTTCATATAGTAGATAGTATAAGCAAAATTTCCAATTGTTTTCATTATCAGTAATTGGTAATTAAATGGCTAATAATAGAAGTTTTAGCTGAATTCTGTTCAGTTATTTAATTTGCTATATTTAATAAATGATAAAGGGTTAAATTGATCATATATGTTTTTATATAATCTGAAATGAGAATGCCATTAATTCTAATTAGAGTCCAGGACTCCACCTTAGATATCAACTGAAATAAAATATCCCTGGAAGATTTATCTTAAAACTAGACATTTTACTATTATAAACTTCAGGGGGAAATGAGTGTCCTTGCATTTAATTCTAATTTTAGTGATGTTAATTATTCTCTGTTTTGTTTTTTTTTTTCTTTCAGAACTGGTCCCTAGGAAAGACCTTCTTATAGAAAATGTGCCGTATTGTGACACACCAACTCAGAAGCAATGAGTTTTCTAGGATAAAATAAGTCTTTGCACTTTTTAACTTTAAAATCTATAACACTGGCAAAGTCCTGGAAATGTAGACATCTTTCTCTGAACTGGCATATTGAAGATGAATGAATTACAGAATAACTTCATATTTAAATTTCATGTTGAAAGGTCATTACTGAGAACTGAAGAACATAATTACGTATTTCTAAAGGAAATTAGATAAGAAAACATTTCATTTTCATTGAAAATCAAATGCCATAAAGCAAAATAAATGCTTAGGGAGATATATTCTCTTCTCTCTGACCTTGATGAATATTTGGTCTTGCCATAGCTATTTGAGAATGTGGTGTTTTTATAAGTTGGTGAGTTTTTTTCCCATATGAAATGCAATTAGTAGATTTAAATTATTAGATTAAACTGATATTTAGTCCTGAAAAATATTAAATTGTTCCAAAAAAAATCACAGTGTGTGCCAGCTCTCTGCAGAAGTGGCCTTTGTTTTCTAAAGCACTGGGATTTTTTCTGCAGCTAATGTGTAATTGTACAGTTTCTTTTTGGAGATACAGAGTATCTCTGTATTCTTATAAAAACATTTTTTATCAGTCTTCTGAAAATAGTTGAATAAAATATTAAAATCACCTAGGGTCACTATGGAATAAAGAAATCCAAATTAAAGTGGAAATAGTGACCCTTGATTAAACTATTTAATATGGCCGTAGTAGAATTAGCTATATTTAGACGAAGTTAGACTTTCTTGTGAAATGTAATAGATGGCTACATTCTCTTTGTTTTAATTAATGAAACTTAAATGTCCTCTCTTCTTCCACATGTCCTGTCCTTGACAAGATGGGCAGTATCACAAAGGGCCAGGCATTCTATCATCTAACACTAGGAACTGTAAAATCCTGTTTAATATTTTTCTTGTTTCTCTTTTATCTGTATATCTTTGCCATTCTGTTTTCTCAGTTAATAGTATGTTTTCTCCCATTCACTGATAAATTATCTCATTTGATGATGATACAGGGTTTTAAATTTTTGAAAGATTCTCGATGCAAGCATTGTTATGTATCTAGAAATTATACCTAGAGAAAAATGAAAGTTGTTTCAAATTTGAAATTTGCCTTTATAAGAGAATATTGAATGTCATCACAGTATATAATCACTGTGTAAATGTGCTGACTTACAGTTATTTTAGTATCTCAATGACATATTTAGAGGAAAGTTAGCTGACATTATTTAAATTTAATATGTATTCTATATTTTAGTATTATTGAATATTTTATCACTGAGCTTTTTTTCTTTAACCTGAATTCCCTGGTACCAGTTTTAATTCACATTAATTTAAATATCTCCAGATTTCTTTCTTACAGTCATCATTAGTAGCAGATGAGGCTAATAATTTACATGTTTATTAAAGATAGTGGCTTAGAGATTTTAAGATATATTGATATAGATAGGTAGATGCGATAGTATACTTTCATGCTGTAAGACTATACAATAAAGTTCCTGTGAAGTACATCAACATGTCAACAACAGGCTCGACTGTCACAAAATTCTGAAAGATGTGGCACTGTATTCTTATATAGCATATACTTATTTATTTATTTTTTGAGATTGAGTCTTGCTGTGTCACCCAGGTTGGAGTGCAGTGGCGCAATCATGGCTCACTAAAGCCTTGACCCCTGGGGCTCAGCAATTCTCCCACCTAAGCCTCCCAAATAACCAAGACTAGAGGCATGCGCCACCATACCTAGTTAATCTATTTTTAGTAAGGACAAGGTCTCACTATGTTGGCCAGACTGGTCTCAAATTCCTGAGCTCAGGTGATCCTTCCATCTTGGCCTCCCAAAGTGCTGGGATTACATGTGTGAGCCACCGCACCCTGCCTATTCTTATAAGCATTTATTTATATTTCAAATGCATTTTAACTGGCTATTTAATAGTTTAATTAGATAAAGTAATTCATGAGTTCTTGGCATGTTGCAAAATAAAGACTGAGAATCAGTATTCTAAAAAGCAAACTACTACACTGTATAGGGTTTATTTTGAAGAAAAAAAAAAAGATTTTTTAAAATTGAAACAGGGTCTTGTTCTGTCATCTAGGAAGGAGTACAGTGGCAGGATCTCAGCTCACTGCAACTTCCACCTTCTGGGCTCCTCCTGCCTCAGCCTCCCAAGTAGCTGGGACCACAGCATGCACATCACCATGCCTGGCTTTTTTTTTTTTTAGGAGAGATGGGGTTTCACCATGTTGGCCAGGCTGGTCTCAAATTCCTGAACTCAAGTAATTCACCTGCCTCAGTCCCCTAAAGTTCTGGGATTACAGGCATGACGCACTGCACTCGGCTATGCAAACTACTTTTTGAAATGTTGAGGTTGATGATTAAGTACCTAAGTTTTCTGTTGTGTAATGTCAACATTTAATTAAATCTCTCTCTCTCTCTCTGTGTGTGTGTGTGTGTGTGTGTGTGTGTGTGTGTGTGTGTGTGTGTTGGGTGTTTTGTTTTGTTTTTTGTTTTGTTTTGTTTTGAGACAGAGGCTCTGTCACCAGGCTGGATTGCAATGAATGGGTCGATCTCGGCTCACTGCAACCTCTGCCTCCTGGGTTCAAGCAATCCTACTGCCTCAGCCAGGTAGCTGGGACTACAGATGTGCACAAAATTAGCCCAGCTAATTGTTTGTATTTTTAGTAGAGACAGGGTTTCACCATGTTGGCCAGGATGGTCTCAATCTCTTGACCTCATGATCCACCCACCTCAGCCTCTCAAAGTGGTAGGATTACAGATGTGAGCCACTGCACCTGGTCTTAAATCTTGGCACGGTGGCTCACGCCTGTAATCCCCGCACTTTGGGAGGCTGAGGCAGGTGGGTCATCTAAGGTTGGGAGTTCAAGACTAGCCTAGCCAACATGGCAAAACCCTGTCTCTACTAAAAATATAAAATTAGCTGGGTGTGGTGGCGCATTATGAATTCCATTATGAATGTGTGTCTCTATCTTTTGTCCTCTTTCTTTTCTCTATTGAGTTGCCTGGCTTTTTCTGACCAATACTTTATATATTCTGGATACTAGTCCTTTGTTAATTATTATCTTTTTCCAATATGGGATTTGTCTTTTAGTTTATGATAAACTTGACTGGGCTAAGGGATGCCCATGTAGCTGGTAAATATTGTTTCTGGGGTGTCTGTGTTTTTCTAGAAGAGATTATCATTTCACTTGGTAGTCTGAGTAAAGAATATCACTCTCACCAATGTGGGTGGGCATCATCCAATTTTTTGACTAGAATCAAAAGGCTAAGGAAGGGCAATTTGCTCTCTCTGCTTGAACTAAGACATCTATCTACTGATATCACTGCTCCTGGTTCTCAGGCTTTCAGGTTAAGACCAGGACTTAACACCGTCAGCTCCCAATTCTCAGGCCTTTGGACTCAAGCTAAATTATACCACCAGCTTTCCTGCTTCTTCAGCTTGCACGTGGAAGATTGTTGAACTTCTTAGCCTTTGTAACTGTGTGAGCCAGTAGCTATAATGGATTTCCTTTGTCAGTCAATACATAGGCATAAATATACATATTATCCTATTGATTCTTTTTCTCTGGAGACCTTGACTAATACTATGTTGAAAACAGTGTAGGTTTGTGAAGACAGGAGTTCTGGCATGTCTTGATTAAGATGCTTATTAGATATCAAAGTGGAGATATTAAAAGGACATTGGATATAACATCTGGAGTTCAGTACATGATCTGAGCTGGAGATATATATTTGGGATTATTAGCATAGATAAAATACTTAAAATTATGACATTGGGTGTTATCATCGACAAATCTATTGAAAAGTCAAAAATTAGGTCCTGGGGTGCTCTGATGTTAACAGGTTAGGAGAATGGGGAGCAACAAGCACAAGAGACAGAAAAGGTAAGGTAAGGATGAATTAAAGATAGGATTAAAACAAGGAGAATGTAGAGCAAAAGTTGGTGAACCATAGCTCACAGAGACCAAATCCGACTTGCTGCCTTTTATTTGTTTACATATTGTCTATGGCTGTTTTCACACTGTAGTCAGTACAGAGTTGAGTAATTGCAAAAGACACTATAAGGTCCTCAAGGTTTAGAGTTGCTATCTGGCCCTTTCCAGTAAAAGGTTGGTGATCTCTGGTATAGAGTCCTGGAAACCAAGTTTCATTGAAGAGGAAATGATACCCTTTGCCAAATGCTACTGAGAAGTCAAGTAAGATTTAGATTAAAACTTGCCTGTTGGATTTAGCAACATGGAGGTAACTGATGACTTTGGCAAGTCAGTTTCAGTGAAACACATGGAGAAACACTGTAGGCTCATGTTGATTCTCCCCTAAATTGACCTCTACCTTGACTGTAATTGCAATTAAAACTCCAGTAAGATTTAAGGAACTAGTAAAACTCAAAACTTTAGGAAGAATAATAAAGGTCTATAAACCGCTAAATCAGTCATGACAAAGATTAAAATTAGATCTCCATATCTAAAAAAACTTTGACCCATACCTCATACCATATACAAAAATTAAATAAAAATCAATAATTAGAACTAAATGTACAACCTATGTGAACCCCTGAAATTTGTGTCTCAATTAATTTAAAAAGTTTACTTGCCAAGGTTGAGGATGCATGCTCATGACACAACCTCGGGAAGTCCGGAAGCTATGTGCCCAAGGTAGTCGGGCAAACCTTGGTTTTTTACATTTTAGGGACACATGAGACATCAACCCACAGACTCAAAGGTAGCATTCTTTTGAGTTTCTGCTTAGCCTTTCCAAAAGAGCCTATCAGATATGCATTTATCTCATTGAACGGAGGAATAACTGAACAGAATGGGGGGCGGGTTTGCCCTAAGCAGTTCCCAGCTTGAATTTTCCCTTTAGCGTAGTGATTTTGGGGGCCCAAGATACTTTCCTTTCACACCTAAAACTACAAAACTACTTGAAGTAAACAAGGGAAAAATCTTTGTGACCTTTTTTAGGAAAAGATTTTTTAGGTATAACACCAAAAGCATAATACATTTTTTAAAAACTAACTGAACTTAATAAAAATCTTTTGCTCTGCAAAAGTAACTATTAACAGAATGAAAACACAAGCTACAGACTGGGAGAAAGTATTTATAAATTGTGTATCTGATAACTTTTACCCACAATAGATAAAGAACTTTCAATAATAAGAAAACTCAATTTTTAAAATAGATAAATATTTGAACAGACACTTCCTCCAAAAAGATACACAAGTGGAAAGTAAGTATATGAAAAGTTGTCCAACATCATTAGTCACTGGAAATTAAAAATTACAATGAAATACTACTACATATCTATTAAAATGGCCAGTATTAGAATGGCTGACCATACCAAATGTTGGCAAGTCTCATGTTTCAGCCTCCTTAGTAGCTGGGATTACAGGCGTGTGCCACCACACCCAGCTAATTTTTGTATTTTTAGTAGAGATGGGTTTCACCATATTGTCTAGACTGGTCTCAGACTCCTGACCTCAAATGATCCATCTGCCTTAGCCTCCCAAAGTGCTGGAATTACAGGCATGAGCCACCACACCTGGCCTGGAATGTTCTTAAGTTGCTGATGGGAATGTAAAATAGGAGAACAACTATGGAAAACTGTTTAGTGGTTTTTTTTGTTGTTGTTTTTTTTTCCCCCTAGACGGAGTCTTGCTGTGTCACTCAGGCTGGAGTGCAGTGGCACCATCTCAGCTGCAACCTCCACCTTCCGGGTTCAAGCAATTCTCTTGCCTAAACCTTCTGAGTAGCTGGGATTACAGGTGCACACCACCTAATTTTTTTTTTTTTTTTTTTTTTTAGTAGAGACAGGGTTTCACCATGTCGGCCAGGCTGGTCTCAAGCTCCTGACCTCATGATCTGCCCACCTTGGCCTCCCAAAGTGCTGGGATTAAAGGTGTGAGCCACTGCACCCAGCCGTTCAGTTTCTTAAAAAGTTAAACATATACCTCACATATAATCCAAATTTTTTACTCCTGGTATTTACCTAAGAAAA